TCTCACATCACCAAGCGCGAAGCGCCGTGAGATATTCGGCGAGTCGCATGAAGGGTGCGCTGCATCCTGCTAAGGGTTTTCGGCATCTTGTGCTTACTTCCTTGCGTACGGATGACAGCTGCGTATGAATTAATTTATTTTCTGGTGTTCTCATGAGAACGGGGGGGGGGGGTAGATCCATCTGACGCTAGAGAGGTAGACAACCAAGTAACGTTTCGTTACGAAAACGCATGCATGTACACTTTCGCTTGCTTAGATTCCCCGCGACTTCGTCCGCGCCAGGAGGCGGGGGTGACGAAAAAAAAAAAATGCACACACGCCCTACTCGACTGACGTATTGTCATTGCCCACGCCTGTTAGCACGGTTCGTGATGCTCAGTACACACACGCAAAGACACAAACGCACACAGCAACCAGCACTCGTTTCGCGAGCTTCGGAGGCTAATGCCGACCCTGTTGACAAAAAACGGACCAAAATCCTTCGTGCGAGACATTGCTAGCAACAGCAGGGTCAGTTCCACGAAAGGCAACAAACATCCGCGGGATGACCCGACCCGCGTACCGTACCGTACCGTACAACATTATACAGTGGTATCGGGGTTCACATCTGTACACATCGCCTTCGCCACTACCCCCGCCGCCTCTTTCTACATGGGTACGACAAAGTACAAGGGTGCGTGCTTCTACGCACCTCGCGGTTATTTTCCGCGGGTTTTTTCGGGGATTGTTTTTTACAATCGGGGGGAGACACTCCTGATTACCAACTACGGTGCCTGTAGCACAGTACTCGCGTAAGCAGTATCCAACAAATAATTATCCTCTATATATTTCAAAAAGTTGACGGACAGTCAACCCTTGCGGTTGTGTGCCTATGAACTGCACAAGGTCAACAACCAAAGGCCTGGAACAAAACACACACTCATCACAGCTTTTTGTGTTGAGCAAACAACAAAAGACACATCACAAAACGTTGCACATTTTTATCCACACGAGGCTGCTGACGATATTCAGAGCCTCGCCCGGGGGACCAGCCCTTGACCTCTTGATCCCAGGGTGTGTTTGTGTTGCAAGAGCCAGCCCTCGCGTTCGAAGCAACTTTGCAGCATGCTCGTCATCTGGCAGTTTTCATCACAAGTATATATTTTTGGCGCAGCGGGGGAGGGGTTCAGTGAAAGCTCGGCGAGTTTGCGCCAATGGGGGGAAGAAACAAGGCAGCAGCAGCAGCAGCAGGAGGAGGAGGGTGGGGTTGGGGGGAGGGGGAGGTAGCACACCCATGGCAAAGCAGCACACGACAAACCGGTGGCCAGTCTTGAACAGGAGACCCGCATACCCGCAGTCGGAGATCCAAGGTAGTGCTCTCACCCGTGTCATGGAAACAAGACACCAACACGTGTCCCCGAACACCCCACCATGTACGCGCTGAAGCATCCCTCGTGAATATATCTACCACATAAAAAACCATGAGTACGAATCTCGTCACCGTACAGTGCAACATCATGAGGTTTTCGCCAAGCAAATAAAAATTGGGAGGGGGGGGAGACCTACTTCTGGGAGGCCCAGGTCGGGGCCCCGTGCTGTCAACGTGGCTAAAAACGCAACACTCTCCCTCTTCTTGAGATGCAATCAACGTCTCCACGCTATTAACCATCAATGCCTGCACGCTAACAACCCGGTAGTAGACATCCAGCCAGGCATCCACCCCCATCCAAGTGCCGCATTTTGCCCCATCTATCGACACATCAACATACCTGGTGAACGGAAGGCCTGCGGGAAGGGTCGGGGTCTAAGGCCCGGTGCGCCGCGAGCGAAAGCGCCTCGCTGCCAGTCCGTCGCCCTATGGCGGCAACCAGCCGCTCGCGGGACTCCGTGGCTAGTTCGGCGGGGGCGGGGTCCCCGACCGCCATGGCGTAGACAAGGGCGCCAACGGCCCACACGTCCGCTTTCTCTGCGAAAATCAGATAAAAAAGAAAGTACTAGTAAGACAACAATAAATCACGATGAATAATCATACCTTAATAACATACAGTAAACAACATGAAACAAGAGTGCCGAGAAAACAAAGAGGGCGTTATGGTACCTGCCTGAAATAGCAACAAGTTTTTGTCTTTGCTTTTAGGGTGGGGAGAAACAAAAACGCCGTTCGTTTCAACACTAGCGCGACGGGCCTTGCGCCAGTACCCACACACACACGTTGTTCAGCCGCACTGGAACTGGCGTATTTTCATTGGTCAGCCAGTTACTGCAATGCGGTCGACCCGTAAAACCTTTCACCTACCCGAGTACGCGACCTTGGAGCCGAGGAGATACTTGCGGACCTCCGGCGCCATGAACGGGATGGTTCCCGCGGCGTTTTCCGTGAGGGGACGGGACGGGTCGAGGCGGGTGGACACCCCGAGGTCCGCGACCCTGACGGCCCCGGTCTTGGTGAGGAGGACGTTGGCCGGCTTGAGATCTCGGTGAAGGATGCCGCGCTGAGCGCCGAGGAGCATGGGGAAGGGGCAGGGTGGGGGATAAAAAGGCAGAGAGCAGACAGGCAGGGACACAAGAGAGGCAGAGAGCGACACAGGGACATTAGACAGAGACACAAGACACGCGACGTAGGAACACACAGACAGGACAAGCCACAGACAGAAAAGGAGACAGACAGACAAGACAGACAGACAGACAGACAGATAGGGAACAGAGAAAAATAGGGAGACAGACAGAGGGTCAGAGAGCACCGGGGGGGAGGGGTTGAGAGGCATAACCACGCAGGAGGGGACCGACAGCTGAAAACGGCAGGGTGTTGGTAAAACAAAACGTGGCATCTAGCAAAGAAGGAAGAACGCCCACAGCAACTACTCACGACCGTGTCAGACGAAAGCGGGGGGGTCAGTGAATAACCTCGTCAGTTAGGGCCATGACGGTCCTCACGGGAGTGGCCACGCTCGCTCGCAGGGCATTTTTTTTCGTGCCTTTTTTTTCGAAAAAAATGACGGGATGACAACGCCTACCACACGACTGACCGCGAGAAACGCAAAGACAAGACATAATGCCCCTTACAACGAGCAAAAACAGTTTCGCATCTGACTCATTCATCTTTGCCGATGCAGCACCCGTTGGCGCGTCACCTCGTGTCTTCAGACCCGGCGCGGAAAGAGTCGGGGGTCCGTTTGGCACCGCCGGCAGAAAATGTGGACCGCCTACGAACATGGATACGACAATGAGCTACAGAAAATGCTTCCAACCGCTGTGTACACGTGTTGAGCAATACACACTCCTTTTGACCCCCCCCCCCCC